AACTCCGGGAGGCAGTGGAAGATAGGAGGGCCTGGTGTGCTCTGGTCCATGGGGTCACGAAGAGTTGAACACGACTAAACGACTAAGCAACAACAACATCAGCAGGCAGAGGGACTGAGGGAAGGAGAGAAGTTTGCAGTGCCACCACCGTGGTGGGGGTGGATGGGAATTAAACCCTGGAACTTCACATCTGGCTGTCAGTATTTCTTTGTTCCCTCCATGGTGACCTGTGTACAAAAATGGCTATTTGAGAAGATTGTCCATTGGAGGTACAGGTGCTCATCCTGAAAGTTCCCATATCTACCCTGGCCCTACAGCAAGTCCAAACATGCAAGTTGGTGGACTAATGCCCATCAACAAGGGAGGAACAGGTCTTTTGTAAAGTAAATGGCTCTTAATTGCCCACTGAAAGGCAAAGTACCTTTAAATGTTTTGCATTACAACAGAGACATCACACCCAACAGATGGTGTTTTACGGTCTCATAAGAAGATTTTGTTTGTTGCTAGTTTTTACTTATAAGGAAATGGACAATTAGATCTTATTTACTTATTTAGATCTTTTTATTTATAAGAAAACAGACCATTAGCACTGTACTTCCACATTCAAGTATGCAGGCTACTCAGTTTTTACTTACAAGGAAACAGACAATTAGCACTGCACTTCCACATTCAAGTATGCAGGCTATCCCCGCCCCCCTTCCCATGGGCTGGCTACTCAATTTACTGTCTTCAGAAGGATGGAAGGCTGAACCAACCTTGAGCCCCTTGGAATTGAACACAGGCCATGAGCAGGCTTTTGGCTGCAGTACTGCAGTTTAAACACTGCGCCACAAGGCTCCTTTCATACCTCATATACCAGGTACAATTCAAAACTGAGCAGGGCACCCCTGCTCTGGTCAGGAGCTGTCTATGACCAGGTGATTAGTTAGCGATGAACTTCTCTATCTGTATTCTGTCCGTCATTTTTGTTCCTTTTAAAAATTCCAGCCCAATGAAATATAGCTAGTAGACATACGTATTATTCAGCGTGCTTATAGCTGAGAAAAAGCAGTTGCTTCCCGATGTTCTTTGGTGCTTTGACCATCAAAAACACTGCATGGTTTCTTCATTTTTTTCCCTTCTTAATGGATCTTTCTCCTCATAGGAAAATATGTAGGACAAGTGATGTGAAACCATGGGAGGATTGCAACTGGAAAACAGTACCATTTCACTCCTATATATAATTGCACATTTTAGTCAGGACCATGAAAATACAAGCCTCTCCTGGAAGCACCCAGTAATTTGGTAAAGCCCCAGTACGCAGTCCAGAGTTTAGGCAGGATCTGAATTAAAGTTTTCTAGGCCAAGTCCAACCATCTATTAACTGGTCATATTTATTACTTGCAAGATAGTTAGTATTCACTACCTTTTAGCACTGAGACAGATTTTCTAACCCCTTTAAGTGCTGAGAGAGGTTGTCTAATCTCTCGCTGCACTGGCTCTGATTAAGTATTTGGAAAGATTTTCTAATCTCTTTCAACACTAGATCTGACTACATGCATGTACCGACACTTCCTTAGACATAAGGAGAGGCAAAAAATTTCATCCTCCTCTTTTCTTTTCCACCATATACGAGTTCCTCCTCCCTCCCAAATGTTCATTCCTGCAACCCTCTGATAAGAAGCTTATCCTCCGATCCTTTCTCCAACTGTCTTTGACTTAATGCTCTGATCTGCGAGGATATTTCATTCTTCTTTTCCTTTGCCCCACCCCAAGGGATTTGTGGACTCTGTGTGTAAGACATAAGATAAGCCTCCGTTTAGAAGCCGAGTTAAACTCAGGAACTCTTCCTCTCTGAGGAAGACTAAGCCTTTCATACAGGGATCTAGACTGGGGATCAAACCAAACAATACCAATATTGTTATTGGAAGCGCATAGTGATTCCATAGAGATCGCTGTCAGAGCAGTCAGACTCGCAAATAAAACCTATGTTTACTGTATATCCCAATCATAAACTGTAAAACAAAGCAGCCTAAATTGCCAGACAGTGGAGGGGAAAAAGCTTGTGCTTGGGCCCTCAGCATTTCAAGAATTCCAGCTGCTGCTGCTGGTATCATATGCTGTAGTTTGTATGGTAGGAGGCTAGTGGCCAAACTGTGTACTGGAAATGGCCCAGTAGAAAGCAGAATGCCTCAAGTGTTGAATGAAGCTGATTATCGCAGCAGAAGTTTTCCACACATCTCACAGCTTAGCTAATTAGCTTGCTTTGTTTTGGGTTGGTCACTGGGCAGTAGGCACAACTTCTATATATTCCAAGCATGACTGCTTCATTACAAAGATCTGTCTGAATCACATCTCTGGAACATTAGCAGATCTGAACTTCCAGCTGCAACATAACTGAAACATAAATGTTTGGATGTCGTTTTTCAGTTCTCTCTCTCTCTCTCTCTCTGTTCACCTACCTGCCTGGACCAGCCCAGAACATTCTGCTGTTAGAAGTGGAATTGCCAATTGCACCTCATCACTCAAATAAAGCTGCATACAATGCAAAGCCCATCAATTTTTTTTTTGGCATGTGAAAATGACAGTCTCACAAACACCTCCCTCTACTTGACGTACAAATGTAGGTTGTTCTTATGCAATACCCCAAATGTGCTGCTTGAGATGGTTGCCTTAATCTACCGCATGGTAGGGCCAGATGTGCAGCCTGTATCCTTTTTGAAATCACATAGAATCATTGACTTGCACATCTGGAATCCAAGGGTCATGAAGTAAAACTCCCCACCTAAGTAGGAAATCCACAGCTAAAGAATCCCTGTGATCATAGAATTACATAATTGTCATAGGGTTGGAAGGGACCTTGGAGGTCTTCTAGTCCAACCCCCTGCCCAAGGCAGGAGACCTCATACCATCCCGGATGGACATATGGTTTAAATATCCCTAACAAAGCAGAATCTACCACTTTCCAAGGTAGTCCATCCTATTTTCAAACAGGCCATAGTGTCAGAAGGCATGACTTAGCATTTAGTAGAAATTTTGCTTTCCTTGCATATAAATATAGAGGACAGAACGGTGATTTGTATGACATGCCTCTGTTTCTCACTGAAATTACAAGACTACTTTTTATTTGTAAGCACGTATGCCTATCGTTTGTTTTTGAAAAGTGCTCTGCAAATTGCTACTGGCTCAGAATGCAGTTGCCAGGACTTCCACTTGTTTTTAGGCTGCATTCTTGACCCTGTTGATGATTTTTGATCTGAGATAATTGTTTGAAATATTAAAAGCTTTCTGACATATATGCTAAGATCTTTTTCTGAGGCTCAAATAATGCCACTGTCAGAGGTGTGGCTCGCTGTCTATTCAGTACAGAAACTCCCTGAGATGACAGCAAAGTTCTAAGAAAGATTTGTCTTATTGAATACTTGGAAGAGATTGCATTTCTTAGAGCAGAGGTGAGCCACTTGCGGTGCCCCAGATGTTCTTATGTAATTCCTATGATCCAGCCAAACATTATCTAGCCCTACTTTACAGGATTGTTGTAGAACCCTCTTGGGGATTTCTAGAATCTGACTTTGAGGTATACATGTTTTAATAACTAAATACAATTTAAAAAAAAATAGTGTGAAAAAGGCTCAATGGCAGTTCAAGTCCCCTAGGTGAAAAAGCCCAAACAGAGAAGTCTAACCCTTTGCTATACAGAGTGTACATGGAACAAGAAGGCCAGGTTTGTCTGTCCTCCTGCAAACACTTCCCCTCCCCATACTGGAGTGGAGGCAGTGAATGTTTGCAGCGGCAACAGCGGTGTGTGCAAAGTACAGGAGGAGGCTAAAATTTGGTTCAAAGTGACAAGGCAGCAGCATGCGCAGAGAACAACCCAAGAGTAAATTGTTGGACCTGTGAATGATTCTTCAGGAGGAGGAGGCAGGAGAAACCAATAGGATTGTGCAGGCCGAATAGGTGTGCCAGCCACAGGACAGACGACAGGACAGACGGCTTCCATAGGCAGCAGTCTCAGAACTTTGGATCGTCCAGCACTTGTTCTAGGCGTCCTTCTTCGGGGACGAGTGCTCTGTGCAAGTTCTTCTAGGGACGTTCTCTCATAAGTGATGTCTACCCTGAAAGAAATTTGTGGTGGGCTCCCCCTGGACCCTCTTCCTATGAACAGAGGCCGAAGGAGTGGAATCCCTCATTCTCCAGTCAGGACGCCTAACCTCACGCCTCAGGAAAAGAAGGTAAGGGAGGTGTTTGTTGTCATCTTTCTCCATGTCAACTTCTGTTAAGGTTACTGCATTTGGGTTTACCATTAAAGGTCAGAAAATTAATTCATTCCTTTCAGAAGCAGCAGAGGAAGACAGGTATGGTGACAGATAAAGACAGCATGGCCATCATAGCAGTTCTTCCATTTTGAAAAGTAAATAACTTTAATAGGTGAGACAGATCTTTTTCTCTCTTGCTCTGTAAATTTATCTAATTCCAATCAGGGCATGAAGTAGCATACAAGGATAGGACATTTATGGTCCAATCCTAAACATGTCTATTCAGAAGTAAATGTGAGTACATTCAAGGGAATATTTTCAAATAATAATATTTACGCTTACAAAAAGGGAGCTTATGAATATTCTTGCATTTACCTTGAATCATGTATGAGGCTAATTAAGTATATGACAAACATACATGCTCTATCAGTAGTATTCCACATTACTATGTATGGATGTGGAAGCTGGATAGTGAAGAAAGGAGAATGGGGTTTAATTCCATTCATCTTGAAAGGTAGTGTTGGAGGAGAGCTTTATAGATTTAGCTGGCCATGAGAAGGGCAAGCAAGTGGTAGATCAAGTGAAACCTAAATTATTACTATCAATAAAATTACTAAACTGATGCTAAGATACCTTGGGCACGTGAGAAGACAAAACTTAGTGAAAAAAGACAATAATGATAGGAAAAGTTGAAGGCAGCAGAAAAAGAGGCAGACCAAATATAAAGTGGATTGGGTTAGTAAAGGAAACTAATGCCACAAGTTGGCAAGACCTGAGAAGGGTTGGCATTGACAGGATCTTCAGGAATTTGTAGTAATTTGTAGGGTTGCCGCAAGTCAGAAGTTACTTGATGGCATGTAACAATAAAACATTGACAAAGGACTTTTGCATGTTATTCCTAGATGTAGTTTTCAAAGAGATAGCCATGTTAGTTTGTGGAAGCATATTAGACAAAGAGAGGAATGGGGCGAAAGAGTGGTTGTGGCACCTTTAAGGTCTCTTCTCTTCTCTTCTCTTCTCTTCTAGGGGAAGGAGTGGTTGTGGCACCTTTAAGGTCTCTCTCTCTCTCTCTCTCTCTTCTCTTCTCTTCTCTTCTCTTGTCTTCTCTTCTCTTTTGGTTTGCTTCTTTGTCTGATATCCCATATTATTGGGGCTATGCATTCTGTAATTCATCCTGCTATATTCTGTCCATAGCAGTGGTCATAATAAAGATGCTGTAGGCGGGGAAGAACCAATTTTTCTTAATAGCCATTTTTTAAAAAATTCCGTATGTCTCAAAAAAATTGCTGTTTATTTAGTGCTAAGGACTGCTTATTCATTTGAATATAATTCCTCATTGTAAGCTTTGGTTGCTGGGAAAGGCCAGATTCTCATCACTCAGGCAATGTTCCTTTTGCCTTGCTTTGCATCACTTTTAATGGGCCTTTGGACCTTTCTGCATTGATGGTGATCAGCACTGTGGCACTTATTTACAGTGATCTTGGACTCAGAAACTTAGCATTTTCCTAGAAGAAGCTGTCAATTCTTGTTTACTTTTTTAGGTATAAAGAGGATGGTGTGGGACCGAGGGGGGACTGGGAGGTGGAAGCCCCCAAAGTAAAGCATCCTGGCTCGCTGATGAGCACCATAATACCTCCAGTCTGGCAAACAATAACTTGAAGGCAGACTCCAATCAACCCCACACTGTTGGGCAGCAGGGAATTGGAGGGGGTGGAACAAGTGGATGCAAATGGGGGGAATAAAATTAATGCAATGTAGACGTTAGGCAGAGGGAAGTTTTCTCGGTCCCTTGTAACACTAGAGATCAGTGCTCATATTTTGAGGCTGATTGGAGAATCGGGAGAGAGAAAAGGAAGTGCTCCTTCCAACAGGCACAATGTACAGAATTCTCTGCCACAAGACATAGTGAAGAGTGGCAGCCAGGATGGCTTTGAAAAATCATGAAGCAGAATCAGAATCAATGAGGTATGGAGGTACCTCAGAGGTAGTTTACCGCACAGCTTGCCAGCGGCTTGCCAGGAAATACAAGGGGAGGGTGCTGTTGCCCTCATGTTCTGCTTCTGGGCTTTCCATAGGCAGCTAGGTCTTTGCATATACTGTACCTGCGTGTGTTTTTGCAAGGCTTTCTCTATGAGCCCCATGGCACAGTGGTTACTGCAGTCAAGATACTGCTCTTGACCTTAGTTTCATCCCGAAAGGCTCGGGTATCTGGCTCAAGACAGACTCAGCCTTCCATCCTTCTAAAGTTGGTAAACTGAATACTCAGCTCACTGGCAGCCTGGATGGCTTTGAAAAATCATGAAGTGCTTGCCTCCCCCCATTCCAAAAAGGGAAAAAAAAGAGATGGCTTTCCATAGGCAGCTAGGTCTTTGCATATACTGTACCTGCGTGTGTTTTTGCAAGGCTTTCTCTATGAGCCCCATGGCACAGTGGTTACTGCAGTCAAGATACTGCTCTTGACCTTAGTTTCATCCCGAAAGGCTCGGGTATCTGGCTCAAGACAGACTCAGCCTTCCATCCTTCTAAAGTTGGTAAACTGAATACTCAGCTCATGGGGGCAGGGGGTCAACATGTACCCTGCATAATTGAATTGTAAACTATGGAGTGCTTTAAGCATTAGGGGCCAGTATGTAAGCAGTACTCTTTCTCAAAATAAAATAAAATAAAATAAAAATTGATTTATGTAAAGTTGAGGGGGGTGGACTCAGCTTTTCTAATCAGGATGTCATTAATAGGCTTGAACTGTTCTCCCTTGGGTGGTGGGAACTCACTACAGGGATTATATATTATTATTCCCTTAAAATATTTAGGGAAATCGGTGACTCTGACACAGTAAGCTAAGAGAGATGGACTTCAAGTGGTTTGGTCCATGATTGTTGTTGTTTTGACTTTGCATTTTCGTCGTGCAGCTCTGTCTTTATTTGAGGAAGCAGCTGTACTGTAGTTATGGGACCTTCTTCATAATAGTGCTTGCCTCTCCCCATTCCAAAAAGGGAAAAAAAAGAGATAGAGTTAAGAGGTTTGCTTTTCTTTGAATGAGAGAGTAACTGGTAAGCACTTTGTAATGTTTGGCTATTGGGAGAAAGAGTGCTCAAAGGTGTGGACTTTTTAACCTTAGTTAATACTAAAGCTAAGAAAATTACTATTTTAGACTGCAACTCCTGGAATCTCCCAGTCAGCATGGTCACTGGGTATTGTGGGTACCATAATCCAAAAAGTAACCTTTCTGGACTTTGGTTGATTAATCAATCCCCACCTTTCTCCCTTACGCATTTCTAATAAGATTTCCCCAAACTGGCCTGTTACAGGGATGCCTCTATTTACATAGTTTGTTATGTTCTGTCAAATCACTTCCCATTTATAGCAACCTCCAACCCTCACAGGGCTTTTGAGGTACACAAGATGTTCAAGGAGCAATTTACCATTGTCTCCTCCTCTACCTCCTAAATGGGTTTCCATAACTGAGTAGGGATTTGAATCCCTAAATCTGTAGTCCTACGGTCTGTCCACTACATTGCAGCAGTGCTCCCTTTCGGTTTAATTGTTTTATGTTCCTCAGTGGATTTACTGCATTGTTGGTTTCTCAGACCTAAACACAAATGCTGATGCTGCAGGCCTTAAAGCAGTGGCTCCCAACCTTGGGTCCCAAGATATTTTTGGATTAAAACTCCTAGAAGCCTTCACCACCATCTGTGCTGGCCAGGATTTCTAGGTGTTAAGAATCCAAGAACATATGAGCCTTAAGGCTATAAAGGACTGACATAGAATGAGGCTCTTTAGTAATGAGTTTCAAAGTCATATTTTGAGGGAAACTTTCCATTGAGTTTTGCATGCAAGTTTAGGATTGTGAGAAGGGCTTCTAATGTTTACATATAGGATCTCAAGATTTCAAACCCAGTGAGACAGATATGCTAGAGTTTCTTTCTTTCTTTCTTTCTTTCTTTCTTTCTTTCTTTCTTTCTTTCTTTCTTTCTTTCTTTCTTTCTTTCTTTCTTTCTTCCTTTCTTTCTTCCTTTCTTCCTTTCTTCCTTTCTTCCTTTCTTCCTTTCTTTCTTTCAAACTCTGTAAGTGGGAGCTTCTAAAAAAACACTGTATTGTTAAGTATTCCTGTTTAGTCAGCCATGGCCCTACTGTATCATTTCTCTACCTCCCCTGCTTTTCCTGTCCCCCAGGGAGCTCTCTGTGTCAACAGAGTGTAGCCTGTCATTGAACAGTGTCAAAGGGTTCCCCCCCTTTAGAGTTTATTTTCTAAAGATATTGGAGGGAAGTTCAAGTCTCTATGACTTCAAGTTTCCCCTGGCCTGCTGCTAGCTGTCTCTTGTGGATGAAAGGTACTGCTTTGGCATCATAAGGAAAGGATCCTAAATAGCTGTAGTATAATTTATTGAAATAGTAGCAGCAATATTAGTAGTAAAAATAGTAATTTGTTCCCACACTTACCTTATATTAAGAAGAAAAAGCCAGTTAATGTAAGCCAAGGGATCATGCTTGTATGTGTGGAGCTCTTTATTCACAATTTATATTTGCAACAATAACCCTAAATTGTTTCCATGTTTTCTTTTCAGCTGCCTCTGTTTCTGGCAATAATATAAAGCCTTTATGAGAGAGCTATAAAGCTCCGTGTGCCTTCTGGGTCTTCTGGAGAGCCATGCAGCTCTTTCTTCCAGTCAAACTTTAATCTCCTTGGATAAACCAAACAATATCTGCCAGGCTGATTCCATATAAATTTCCTGACTTTGGTTTCTGAGCCCTTTGCTGAAAGAGCATCCTTTTCCATCTTCTTTTCGCAACCCCCGAAGCACAGATCTCTGTTTCTACTTCCCAGGGAAATATTTTCTTCCTTTGACAGATTATACAGGGCTTGCATCCTGTTCAGCTTTGCTGCAGAAAAAACAAACCACAATCTAAAGCCCCAAAGTATTTTGTTAAAGACAATATTTTATACATTGATCTGTCCGTCTCTACATAAGGTGCTG